TCTCTCTCTCTCTCTCTCTCTCTCTCTCTCTCTCTCTCTCTCTCTCTCTCCCCTCCATCTCTTCTCTTTTTATTCTTCGGAATTGGGGGTATTTTATAGGCTAGACTTGGTTGGGGATTTGATCACTAGCTTTCAGCTTGATTAGAAGAGGTCTTAGCTGTTCTGAAGATGTATAGACATCATTTTTTAGCTATCACTGAGATTCTCACGCAGGGGCGGGTTTCTCTTGTCAGCAGAATCCCACTGCCTAGATCCACTCTATTCTACATGATCTGGACTTCTCAAATTCAGATAGAAGGGAAAACAAGGGGTGGGGAGTCTGATGTGCAACTTTCCACAGTGTTAATTGTTTTCTTTCCTCTCAATTACATTCATAAACCTATTTTCTGCTTTGCATGTTATTTCTTTGTGCTTCAAAATTGAAACCACGTGCTGTCTTTTCCCTCTGCACACACAGTAAATGCATTGCCCCCTCCCCCAACCCATCACGTTACTATTTACATCTTGGTTACTCACTCTGCGACCTGGCCCCAGAAAAAGAAATTGGCCACGAGGAAGTAGGTGAAGCTTTGTCAAAGTATCTCTCAAATCCAAATCTCAAACCCTAATTTCTAGAGAAGACTCCAGGTTTCACTTCCGCATACCTCTGTACCTTGCACAGGTGTTTGAAGCTTTCTTGGGGAGCGTTAGCAGGGAGAACATTCAAGAAGAAAGACAGTCCATCGACTTTGGGTCTGCTCTACAGGCCCACCCCAGCCCTTGCTCTCGAGTCAGCTGGGGGTCACAGCAGCAATCACAGCATGCCACTATTATTCTCCTGCTCTAAGATCTTGGGCGTAGCAGGCCCTGAGCCCGAACTAGCCCCGAACTGCTCCCTGGGGACAGGGCCTTCCCAAGCAAAGAAGTCCGAAGCTAAATAAATAAATATATAAATAAACAAACTCTGGAGGGGGAGGGGGAGTTGGAAAATGGATTCCCTGACAAGAAGAGATAATAAATGAGGGGCGCTTTCAGACAGATATCTCAGACGTGAAATTGCACCCAGCTGGTTGTGTAAGCAAACAAATAGTTTCATGTTAGGAACTCTCAACTTGTGGCTTGATGAATAGAACACGACAGAGGTAAATGGGACTTTAACTCATTTAGGAATAGGACTCTTTGGCTTCCAGAGTAAAAGGCCCAGTAATGCCACAGAGCCCAAACAAGCTCTTTAACAAGAGTTTTATTAATTCCCACTTGTGTCCCCCACCCCACCCCCTACCCCGTCCTGATGCTTCTCATGGTCCTCTATTTGCAGGGCATTCAGATGATGTGTTCTGAGTAACAGGGCAGCGCCCCAGACATGAGTCAGCCAGTGGAGGAATGGAAGGGTTGCCTATGCATGGATAAAAGGAGAGAGAACATTTTCAAAAACAAACATATTTATTTATTTATTTTTTGCACAGCCCTAAAGAGCTTTGGTTTGGGTTCCAGCTGGCCAGCGTCTCCAGGACCCTGTCCCGTGCTGCTGCCAGAGGCCGAAGTACAAGGTGAACAGGAAACGATCCACATCTCTGCCTGGACTTCCTTTCACCCAGCCTGATAACAAGCTAGAAGTGGTGTGGGAAGAACAGAGTATGTCAAAGGTCACACCTTCCCATTCTGTGGTTGCCCTAGGAGCTGCGAGGGCACACCCTGGTTTCCCTAGCAATTTCTCAAAGCAACATGTCCCCAAAGTGGCCTTCTAATAGTTTCAGCTAAGGTAGTTTAAATCTACTTCAAAGTCGCTAAAGTTCTCAGGTACCCAGCAAGTGTTTGGATTAGAAAAAAGCATTAACCCTTCCTAAACGGGTATTTGAAGATAAAAGTTATTTTTCGTGCGCTGCCTCCAGTTTGAAGACGTCGTATTTCCACTGACTCTGCAGAACCCATGTTTTCTCATGCTCCATTGTGTGTGTGGGGGGTCTCCATTTTCCCAAATTTTGAGGGGCAGGCGTTACTTCTCCTGAGCCATACAGAAACCTCGACACTCACACCTTGCTTCCATGGCTCCCCCTGGCGCCTAGCGTGAAAGTGGTTCAACACAGAAGACCCTCCAGCGGGCCACCCAGGCCACCCAGACAGAAGGAGCCTGCTCCACCTGGCTTCTGCTTCAGGCCCACGACCACAGAAATTACCAGGGCCAGAGAAATCACAAGATGCTCAACTCAAGCAGTCTGGCTACTACTGGAACCTATTTCTGGAGCTGAGAGCCCCAAGGTTGCTCTCCTGGCCCCACGTGCACCCACTAAGGCCAGTCAGGAAACATAGGATGCTTCTGGGTTGTAGGTTCCAACAGAAGTTTAGGTGTCTTGGTTTTGGTTCCTCAACCTTCCCTTAGGGTGAGCGGATTTGTGTATGTGTGTGTGTGTGTGTGTGTGTGTGTGTGTGTGTGTGTGTGTGTGGTCTCTGTGTCCTATGCTCCAAAAGTGGGAAATCTTTGCGGGTTCAAGCAGCTGTGCAGCCTAGCATGGGCGAGCAACTCCTGATTCTCGTGGAGTTCTTCTCTATCTTAAGAAGAGACCTAGATCTCTGATTCTAGAAACACAACTTTGTCTCCGTATATATTGCAGGCTGGGCAGAAAAAAATACTGCTTCGTATTCCCAAACGGGCCAGTGGGCAAATATTCCTGTCCCCTCCCCCCATTCCAGGTTTCCTGGCTCTTGGAGGTGCCTCTAGGGAGGCGCTTCTTTCCGCTTTGATTGGCTGGGAGGTTGGGCCCAGGCTTACAAAAGTCGCTGGGATTCTTGAGCACCCCGCTGACCCCAGTCTGCTAGAGTCAAATCACCGCTGACAGCCTGGAATCCTGAGGAAGTGCCTTGTTCCTCTTGGACCTGTGCTGCCTGCCTTTTTCTACACTGGGCATCTTGTGCTTGGGCCTCCATATTGAAATTAATTGAAAAGTACATTTCAGAACTGCGAAAATGTTTATCTGTTTTCATCAGAGGGATCACACTGTAATGAATATATTTACATCTCATTTCAAGAAGGCAGGAAAGATCGGTGAACTCTATTGGCAGCTCGGCTCCCCTCCGCTCAGTGCCCTAGCTGCAGCCCACCCTTGAACCCACTCTCTGTCACTGGTCAGTCTGTGAGGGTTCCCAGTACTTCTTAGGAGTTCCCTGGGTTAAACATGACCTTCTTTCTGTCCCCCTCTGCCTCGGGTGTCCAGACCCGAGGGAAAATGAATTTAGGCCCAAAGACTCTACACCCTGCCTGTCTAGGTGCGCAGTTTAGGTAGTCCTCTAGCGGTCTGGTTTGAGACCATTGACCTCCAGTGGCCTCGCGCTTCGCAGAGGCTGTGCTGCATTCAGATCATGAAAAAACGTCAAGCAGGTGGGGTTCGCTTAAGAATTATAGGGACCTGGAAACTTCCATACAGCAAAGTGAAAGCACAAGAATACGGATGGTTCCTGAAAGTGAGCTCTAGCCTCAAATAAGCCTGTCTAGGGCCAGGGGTGGGGGAATGTGTGCGAAAGAGGGGTTTTATTTTTAAAGATCTGGCGTTATTAATACGTTAAAGAAGCGCTCCCTTGGCAGTATGTGTTCTCACAACTTCAACTCAGATCCCATAAAACACTCAGAGGCTGAAGGCTGTCACAGAGCGTGCCCCTCAACGCTCGCCCACCTA